TCAGATGCGTTATGCTCCTCTTCTTTTTATGCTCAGCTACTAAAATTTCCCTTTAGTGGTAAAATTCCATACAAATATTCAAAACTAAGCGGATTAAAATGTGCACAGTAAAGACATTAAATTATTAAATCTTTTCACTACCAACCAATGCACCACGAGTGCCCCTGTAGGTCATTTTGGCCAGCCAATCACTTACCGCGGTGCCCTCCGGTGCCCTGCAGATAGGTTACTGTACCGCGGGTTTTTACCGCGCATTTTGAATGGCTGCATCTGTACCTACTGTGATTCGGACACGGAATGGTTAAAGATGTCGACAAGTTAGGCGTCTTCCCGCCTCCATAACTAAAATGCCTTGGCTTAAGCAACATACACAGTTGTGTAACTGACAGTTCGAGGTAGCCTATCGTGTAAATTTCACTTTGTTGTGGATAGGTTAAGCTTTCGAAACTCAGCCCCAAAGTCATGTGACTGATTTTTCGCCCTGTTTCATTGATAAATACAATGATCACAAGCACAACCATGGTAACTGGGATGTGTAGTTTTTAATTCAGTATGAATTATAACTGTACGTACTGTCTTCGTATTTGGCCAGGGCTTTAAAGAGAGGGCGCGCCAAAAATTCTGGTGCCATTGTCTCCGAATGTTTGCCCAGCTTTTTAACAAAATATTTGTGTTTAAGACTTAAGGGAACCTGAGAGGTGTTAAGAAAATCTGTTTTGGACGAAGAAATGGAGTAAGATTTGCATATCGATGAACCTGCAGTAGCGAGTTATACGAAAGCAATGCCTCTTCACCCTTGCCTCCTCTCTTCTCTCCACATCAACCTCAACAGTGACTTACAATAGCCGTCGCCCTCCTCCACCTCAACACACCAAGCTGCTGCCTTTACTACCTCACTACTAACAAAAAAATCTCTTAAAATTTAAAACACAATAATGTTAATAATTTTCTTGATTTGATACTTCCAGATTAACAATTTGTTTAAATGTTTATTTTACTGTTTACTTTTTACTGTTAACTTTTTTTAACTCATTTTCTTTTTTGCAAATTAACTTTGTCTAATCAGTTAAATTAATTAATAAAACAATTTAGGGGCTTTAATAATTACAGATGCAGCCAATCAAAACGACCGGGCTATACCACGGTAAAACGCGGTTTGTGTTTTGCAGTATAACACGGGTTAATTACAATGTAATTCTATACCATTCTAAAGGAATGTGTGCTACAAATGAAAGCGGCCAATTGTATTTAAAAAAAGTTATCTCCAGTAAATAGGGAGATAGGAGAATGTGCGTGATTTTGGAACAATGGCAATGTTGTAAACACAGGAAAGCATGATAGATAACAGAAAAATATGTAAGAACTGTTCTAGGTTAATTTGAGAAAAATATACTGAGCGTCTCTGTTTCACTCCCATGCACATGAAATAAAAACTTCTTTTAACTTCCGAGACAGGCTCCTGAAATGGAAATGGAGAAAAATGCAAGCTTGCGGACTGCTAAAGCAGGTAAGTCCCACACTACTTGTGAAGAACTTTGTTTACCGTTGTCAAAAGAACTGACATGTATTAGGTGTAGAGAAAAAGCTGCTAAACAGCTCGACCTGCTGCCCCCTCCAAAAGACACAGTCACTCATGGAATTATTGATATGGCGGATGATGTCAAACGTACACTGATAGAGAGCGTTAAAATGAGCAGATGCTTTTCACTGCAATTAGATGAGGCTGTAAATGTTGGCCAAATTTGGTCAATTTGCTCGTTAGATACGAGTTTGAGGGCATGTCCCATGAAGACTTGCTGTTCTGTAAGCCGCTACCAAAAGGAACTACAGGAGAGCACATATTTCACCTTCTGAATGAAAAAATGGCATTGACTGGATAAAATGCGTCAGAGTTTGTATAGATGGTACTAGAGCGTTGACAAGCCAACACAGCATGTAGTTGCACAAATTAGAGAGGTTTCTCCAGATATGAACCGCAGCTTCCACAGCAGTTTGTGTGGATCTTAATGCCTCATTATAGTGCCAGGGATACTATAAAAAGGCACCGTCTTTCAGAAAAGTATGTCCAGAAAAGTGATATACAAGTGTATGGAATTATTCATCTGCAAGGAAATCTATATGGTGAGTGGACTTCTTCACATTATTATTATACCAAATGGAAAGGAAAGGATCGCTTGGTGAAGAGGGTTTAATCTTAGCAAAGAAGTTACCATATATAATGCAGAATAAGAAGAAAAGCAGTACCTTGGATAGCAGGATCTTGACACAGGCAACATGGCCCTCATAGGTAGCAGAGAGGAGAGGAGTGATGTTATGTTTATCAGGTGCCTGTAGAAAGTAAAAAGAGCAAAAAGCAAATTTTTGTTACATGGAACAATAGCAATAACAATTACAACAAATGTAATCACTGCTACACAACAAAACTACATCTTCCAAAATGAAAATGAAATTAAATTACTAGAACAGATTACTACAACCAGTACATCCAGATTTTGCTCATAAATTGAGTCTTTATTGGAATCAAATGGTTTGTTAAGTAAGATAGCCACTGTCATCTCATACTTCTTAAATATAACAGATTGTGAGTTATTTTTTGAGTTGATTGTGAGTTGCTTCTGAGACTAGATCCCCTAAATGCTTGAATGACAAACAAAAAACAGGATGACTAATTCTGTGACTGTAAATGTGTGTACCTTCTCACCTTCTACCTGCATTATGATGTCATTAAAGCATTTAATATTTAGGCACATTGTTTAGGAGGATTAAGAAATAACTTGTGAATTAACCTAAAAATAAAAAAAATAATAAATAAATCTGAAACTGGTTTCACCACACTTTTTTTGTTATTAATGTTGGACTTGTGTAGAATGTAGTGTTTAACTTGCATGGTGAAAAAAACGTACACATCAGGGATAGCCAAACCTATCCCTAGAGACCTGGTGTGTCCACAGATCTTGATTCTAATTGAGGCCTTAAGTGCATATGTTAAATTTAAGAAGGCACACTTGTGGAGTGTAAAACATTAGAATGTGAATAACATTCACTGTTCTCTGTCAACTTGTGTTCTCTCACTAGTCTCTGATCCACAGATAACAGGGTTTCCCACATTTGTATACAGGGCAGATGGTCTGCTTGCTCAAAAATTGGTGCCACCTGTTCAAACAAATGTGTGAACACCAATAAACTGTACACAAGAACCCATCATGTAATACTGTTGTGTAGTAATACATTGCAAGATCATTTTTTGATGTGAATAAACTATCAATCCAAATAGTATATAATCACAATGTTCTACACCAAATCTCATACATTGGGGTTTTGGACCCTTGGGAGCTATGTTAGCAATTGACATAGAAAACAAACACAAGGTTTCCTTCCTATTGAATTGGGGGATCACAGATTTGAACTCCTAACTGAACTTTGCCAATACCTCTAACAATTCAGGTAGGTAGCTACATCAGCATGTGTAGGCTGCAAAGGGACAAGTAATAGGTTTATTCCATGCTGAAAAAAAGAAGAAAGAAAACACAACGTTACAGCCATGGAGCCTTCTTCAGGTGTGAGGTGTGATTCTTCTTCAGGTGAGAGCACACCTGAAGGAGGCTCACACCTGAAGGAGGCTCCATGGCCGTAACCTTGTGTTTTTTTCAGCATGGAAAAACCTATTACTTGTTCCTCTCTAACAATAGCTGTTATAATAATAATTGCTTACACTTATATAGCACTTTTCTGGACACTCCACTCAAACTGCTTTACAGGTTATGGGGACTCCCCTCCACCACCACCAATGTGCAGCATCCACCTGGATGATGCAACGGCAGCCAAAGGGTGCCAGAACGCTCACCACACATCAGCTATCAGTGGGGAGGAGAGCAGAGTAATGAAGCCAATTCAGAGATGGGGATTATTAAGAGGCCATGATTGGTAAGGGCCAATGGGAAATTTGACCAGGACACCGGGGTTACATCCCTACTCTTTTCTAGAAACACCCTGGGATTAATGACCACAGAGAGTCAGGACCTCAGTTTTACATCTCATCCGAAGGACAGCACCT